CGCTTCAATGATTGTTTACTCGTTCAGGTGCTTGTGTGACACAGTCTCTACATCGGTAGAGACGGCATGGCGGTTATCAATCCGCATAAAAGAACACTATTGTCGCTGGCTGAGTCAAGATGGTTTCAAATCTATCACAAGTGCGATTCTCACTCATTCGGTAGACACTGGCCATTTTGTTAACCGAAGTGTAGCATTCCGCATTATTTACCAGGTTTATCTGGTCTAAATATGGTAGAATGCCTACGTTGGCCTTATCCGAAGTCATCTGTATTAAACCTTTGACCCCCAAACTATAATGCCCAGAAGCATCTTATTGAAGCTGTCCATCTCCCCCGGGGTTCACGAATCCCCCCTCCTCCCCCCCNCACACACACACACACACGCACACACACACACACACAAGAACTCCAGTCCCTCAGAAATGTCTCACGCGCCTGATGTGACCTAACTGGGAACCCCCAAAACACAGATCTGTGAATGCGATTTGCAACATACACACGTGCATTACTGTTCTCCACTCAAACGTGATTACATGATTACGAGTTATTGAAAATAATTAACTAAAAATAATTAACATTTTCCAACGGTTTGCAAAGCCTTTCACTGTCGATCATTTAGCTATACAGAACAGCCAGACGTCGGGACGATGCCCTTTAGTCAACAGTATGCCACATGCTGTCACATTTAATGACTTTGTCAAGCAGATCACTCGAAATTTCTATGTGAGTTTAGGCGTAGAGGGCACCATTTTCAGGGACATGGCAACGATTTAATGAAAGGGACAAATCAACCAAACAGGGACCGTTTTGTTCACAGTTTAACGAATGCCTAATCTACATGCACAGAATCACACGAAATGTGGATGTTTGGTCACCATGACGTACCACATTTGTCGACGAGATGTTACTCTTGTGTCTGCGTTTGCATAGCGCAGAGAAAATAGTCACTGTGACTGTTGATGGTGCATTCACAACCAGCACCTCATCTGTGACAGATTTAGATGTTCCGCCAGGGAACGGAATAAACCGCTTACATCAGGGTCCTGCGGGACTTCCATAAAGCTAGTAGCAGGAGGGCATGCAAAGAAGGGCGCTATTTACTCGTCGTGTACTAACAACTGATTACAATGAGAAACCGCACTAGTTCGCGAGAATAAATACCAAACCAACCAGACTGGTTCAGAATTCACTGTTGGATACGGGTAGACAACGACAGTATATAGGCATACGTTACGTTACTGAATCTGCCAAGAGAGTTTTGGGACAACAGAGTGTTGGCAGAACATGTTTGACTTCGAATAAATGCCGGTCTCCCGATTGTCATTGTGTTCTGGAAAAGTTGTTTGATTGATCTTGGTTCGAATGGATGTGCAAGTGTTACGAGAACTTTTAAAATTAAATTATTGCTTGTCCATCAATCCATCACGTTTGATCTGTTGAGCAAGGTCTAGTTGACGTTATAACTATGGCGTAGGATTGCAGACAATTCCCACAATGATTCATGAGAGAGCGTGAAATACGCCTGTTGTTATCTAGAGCTCGGTATTCAGTAAACACACACACACGATACGCTGTGCGCAGAGCAGACAGCCTCAGTCAATCAACTGGGCCTTCAACACGTGCAAGGTCATTTCAAAGTATGATGAGCCTCTGGTGACCCCTAACCCTTGGGTTGATCATCTTGCAACAACTGTTTTTATGGATGTGCTACTAGCCTATACCGCTTGACCACAGCCGCTCACATCTATGACAACTGTTAAGAATTCACAGGGTGAATATAGAGTGCATTTGGCCGAGCTGTTGATGAAACAGCAAAGTCACAACTGTCAGTCTACAAAAATGTCCAACAACAAGCTTCGTGTGGTTACTCTCTCACCGGGCCGAATGCACCACATCTCATGGGTTAGTATAACACTGTGCCCGAACAGACGTCAAAGCAATGGCGATCACTTATCACTCTATACACCAATGGTTATGTCAACGTTCGGTAAATAGCAGGTACCAAATCATTGAATTTTGAACGGCGGGAACTCGATTGAAGTTATGCTACTAGCTTGAGGGTGAATGATCCGCCCGATGGTCCATTTGAATCACCTCCACAAGCAGAGCGGACGAGAGCAATATTTTCGATCAGATTCAGTCGCAGTGTGTATTGCCTGTGTCCATCCTAGGCTGAACATTGTGCTGTTGGCATAGCATCCAAATGAAGTTCACCTCATTTGATCCGACCTTCAGCAACGCGGTTCTCACTGGAAGCATATTGTAGCCAGAACAGTTTTTTTACCACTGCTGCTGCTGCTGCTGCTGCCACTCGAACCTGGGGGGGGGGGGGGG